GAGCTGGATTGGCCAGGTGGCAGCATCGATGGACTCAAGTGTGACAACAGTAGTGAGGTTGGCCCAGGATCAGACATTGTTTCGTTCAGCTGTGCATAAGGTTGCTATGAGTCAGTGCTGCCTGGTGTCTCATTGACATAACAAAGGCAGTCCATTCTAAAATGGGATTATAACCACAGGCAAGACCCCCAATGAGATGGAGTGACACAGTGGCTATAGCAATAGGCTCAAACGTAACAATTGTGAGGATGGCACAGGACCAGGCAGTGTTTTGTTCTGTAGTAATAAGGTCTCTATGAGTCAGAACTAACTTAACTAAATGGTACCTAACAGGCACAACAGAACAAAAGGGGAGGTTTCCCTGGGTAGTACAAATCGTTAACATGCTTGGCTGCTAACTGCAAGGTTGAAGGTTCAAATCCACAAAGAGGCACCTCAGCAAAAAGAACTTTAGATTTCATAAAAGGAAAAGAGCTGATGAGGGAAGAAGGAAGAGACTACACGGTATGGATAGTATGGATACAGCATTCAGGGGCTGCAGATTCTTCTTGGAAGAAGACGAGGAGTAAGGATGCTGATATGAACTCTTTCTATATAATAACTAGTGTTTGTATTTGTTGTTGTTGTTGTTAAGTGCCATAAAGTCAGTTCCGAATCACAGCGACCCTGTATAGGATTTCCAAGAAGCAGCTGGGGGATTGAAACCCGAATCCCAATTGCAATTAGCTGTCTGGTGCTTGTCCTATGGTGCCACATGGAGTCTGAATACAGCACTGTATGAGGTTTTTAAAGCATTGTATCCACATTCTCCTATGGAAATTCACACACACACAAGCCAATGAAATTAGGCAGAGTTGTACATTTTTATCTAACTTTATAGAGAATAAATAAGACTCAAGGAAGTTAATTCATGAATGGCAGAGCACTCATAACGGGTGATGTCCGGACTTGACTCCCTCATACTTAAGTTACAAAACCCATGCTCAACTGAATAAAGGTGGGTCCCAAACAAGAAAAAGATGCTAAACCTAAGAGTTCATTCTCTATGATTCCATTAACCTAAGATTCAAGAACAGGAACAAAAAAGACTATGACAATAGAAATCAGAACAGTGGCTGTTTATAGGGAGAGAAAATGGGTGGGAGGTGATCGGAGAGAACTTTCTATACTTGATTGGGATGTAAGTTACATGAGTGGACCACATACGTGTGAACGAACACATTTACCAAAATCCAGCAGACTATACATGTAGGAATTCATTGTATGTGTATTTCACACCTAAACTGAACAACCTACTACATAAAACTAAAATTTGAAATCTTGAGTTCAAGACTGTGTCCATTCATCTGTAAGGATTAAAGCTGTAACTTATTCATGATTAGAACCACCTCACAGAAAGCTCTTGAAGCCATGGTCAAAGCAGAGCTTGGTGACAGAACTCAGTTTCAAAACAAAAACCACAGCCACTATAGTTATTGTTCCAACTTAAATATTGCAAACAAAACAAATTAAGCATATTCAGACTAGCCCCATGAGGTTGGCTGGGCAGAAGCATTGCCTAGCTTTTAAGATTTGTAAGTAACAAGCCCTGTTTTTATTTGGTACAAGCTGTTTTTTGGAGGAGGAAAAGGGGAACAAAGGTTACTTTTGCCAAAATTTGCACCACGTCTTTACAATTTCCTGGACCCAAATTCCTACATAGCAAATGTTGCTTGGAACTAAGGAGGAGTCCCAGAAGTCCCTTCTTTCTGTATTTTGAAAATTCCACAGTACTTACTGTTCCCTACGGTTATACCAAGATTCCCTCTCCTGCTGGTGTTTCCAGCCTAGCCCAGTGATTTTTTGTTGTTGTTGTTGTTTTCCAGTTCCAAATTCAAACTATGGATAATTCAAAAAAGGAACAATGGAATTTTTACAGGCAAAGTGAATGGCATTAATGTGTGTGTACGTGTGTCTTTAATAAAAATAATTGTGTATAGGCTATACTTACTCGCACAGAAGGATTCCATTTTCTAACCCTGTCCGAAAATCCTTATCGCCAAAACTTCTGCCAGTTACTTGCTGGAAAAGAAACAGAAAAAAGGAACATAAATATTGCTCTTTAATCAGGAAGTTTGAAGATTTTGTTTTATTTTTACTATTCAGGAGCCTTGACTGGTGGCATTCCGAATGTGGGGAACTGCTGGTAAGTCTGAGTTTCCTGTTCATGGTGTAGCTTTGCCTGGATCAGCTAAATTTAAATTTAGACAATTCCTTTGAAGCTTTTTTCTATCTACTACCTTGGAAAACATCTGTTCTTCCTGATAAGGATCTATTACTTTTGGGCTTGGTTATGTGAAGTTGAGGTCAGGACCTCATCCATCTATAACACACAGGATCCAACCCATTCACACTTTTCTTTAAAAAAAAAAAAAAGCCTTCCGTTTCAGTGCACTATCCTTATGACTCGAGTCCTGGTGTGGCGCTGTGGGTTCATGTGCCAAACTGCAAAGCCTTTTGAACTGCAAGGTCAGCAGTTCAAGTTCACCAGCAGCTCCTAGGAAACCCTATACAGGGTCGCTAATGTTGGAATGGACTTGACAGCACTTAACAACAAAAACAACAACATCCGTATGGCCGGTTAAGGATCAGACCATTGTGATGCATAGGGTACTCATTGGTTGATTTTCAGAAATAAATCTTCAGGCCTTTCTTCACTGAGACCCATTCAGCATCAGCATCAGAGCAACATACAAGCCTCCACAGAGAGACGGGTGGTGGCTGTGAACGGAAGATGAGAATTCTACCATGGAACCATCAAAGTCTCCAAGATGGGCATCAGCACCATGCATGTGGAGGAAGGTACTGATTTTCCCCTCTGCTCTCCCTGTGCCTGCTTTCTCCCTTCACCTGTGCTCATTAGATCCCAGCAATGCCTCCTCACTGTTCTCCATTGATTTAAACACCCTCCATTCTCCAAAGGGCATGTTATTTAGAAGTACCTGGATCTTTGTTAGGAAGATGAGCTACTAAATAGATTCCAGAAATGCACTAGGAACCTTGATGCTCAAAAGTCCAATCTTTGGACCAACAACAATTGCATCTTCACCTGGAGTTAACATTAATAATACAGACTCTCAGCCCTCTCCACCCCTGAAGACCTACTAAATCCAAATCAGAATACTGTGATTCATATGCACAGGAAATGTTACCAAGTCCTGACCTAGGATACTAACCTAAGCCAAGAGGTTCAGAATTGTTGAAGGAGGGCCTTACATTGGAATCAGGATTCTATATGACCCATCTCAACAACCTCCCTCAGCACCACTTTTATGATGTGTTTACAACGCCACACATTGTATATTCCAACTATAAAGGTTCTAATTACTGTTACCTTTACCATAAGATGCCATAAACAATGAAATAGCTGCCCCAAATCAACTGCCATTACCAACATTTCATTTGCAGGGGAAGTGAAAACTCTTCCCTGACCTTCCCAATGGGATTCCAACTGACTGTGGAATCTCTACAGCTTCCCAAACAAGACACTACCAACCTATCAGCTCAGGGGCACTCTCTCCAAGGACTGAAGGACAAGATGGGAAATTTGGTAGAGCTATTTTTTTAATTATTATTAATATAATTAATTTTTATTAGTTAATATGCATGCAAAAGCTGGACAGTGAATAAGGAAGACCATAGAAGAATTGATGCCTTTGAAGTATGGTATTGGAGGAGAATACTAAAAGTGCCATGGGCTGCCAAAAGAATCAAGAGATCTGTTTTGGATTAAGTACAGCCAGAGTGCTCCTTAGAGGCCAAGATGGCCAAACGTCATCTCTCATACTTTGGACATATTGTCAGGAGGGAACAGTCACTGGAGAAGGATATCATGTTTGGTAAGATGGAGTTGTTGTTGTCAGGTGTCATTGAGTCGGAAGCGACTCATAGC